GACCTCAGAAGTAGGGGTGGGTCCGAGTAGCGTTGAAAGCAGACCACCAACCAAGCCGCCGGATGAGGTAGGCTGCACAATCGACTCAGGAACACCACCTGTGGATCCAGGGACGATGAAAGGTCCCTGGAAGCTGGATGCGGCAGGAGAGCTTGGTGCAGAAGAAACAAGAGACGCAGTGGGTGTCACGATAGTCTCTGGGATGCCTCCAGTGGAGCCGACAGCTTGCTGAGATGACTGGGGAGCAGTCGATGAGACTACCTGGGTAGGTTGGACAACAGATGTGGGTACACCGCCAGTAGATCCAATGATTGGGTTGAGAAGCGTTGAGAGAAGTCCACCAACGAGACCAGCAGAAGTCGTTGTTGCAGTAGGTGTGTCAACGGCTGACGATGATGGCTGCACAATAACATCCGGTAGTCCACCTGTCGAGGCAGGGGTGTTCTCAACACCAGGAGGCGTCGAGGTTGGCTGTGCGATAGCTGAAGTGGGCTGCACGATGGTCTCGGGAATGCTACCGGTAGAAGGCGCTGGCTTGCTGTCGACAGCGGAGGATGACGGTTGTACAATCACGTCAGGCAGTCCTCCGGTTGGGGCGGCCGCTGAGCTCTGAGCGATCGAAGAAGCTGGGGTGTCTTCAACGGCGGTCGAAGAGGCCGCAGCTGAGCTTTGGACAGTGGAAGTTGGTGGAACGATGATCTCAGGTAGGAGGCCAGTGGAGCCGAGGATAGGACCGAGAATAGGGCTGTCAGCCTTGGTAGAAGAAGATGCGGCGCTGCTTTGGGCGGTTGATGTAGGCTGCACAATAGTCTCGGGGAGACCACTGGTAGTGCCAATCTCGGCCGTTGGAGAAACAGCGGTTGTGGGCTGAGGTTCGGTGATAGGCTCGGATGTGGTGGTCTCAACAGGCTTCTCGCTTTGCGCTGTTTCGGAAGTGGACGTAGGAGCAGCTGTAGACGATGGCTCAGTGACTGATTCCTGAATTTGGCTTGATGAGCTAACGATGGGGCTCGACGATTCGACTGCAGAGCTCGATGCCGCAGGTGGTGGCGGTGAAAAGACACTGCTTTCTGAGAGAGGTGCGGTAGAGGAGCTCTCTGCCAAAGCGGAGGACAAGGTGCCAGTGGTGTCTACGTCGCTGGTGCTGACAAGCACATCTGAGGATGAGGCAAGAGCCGATGAATCGGAACTACCGCGGAACAGCGATTCAATGAAGGACGGGAAGTCCATCTGGCGGGACGAGAGTTGCTCAGTAGTGCTGCTGGACGAGTAGCTGGTTGATGGCTCTGGGGTAGCCGCAGGGGTCGTCGCATTGGTAACGATTTGTCGCTTTACGTGCCTAGCGAAGTAGTATCGGGGACGGCCTTGGGTTTGTTGTGGTCCCGGTGCAGGCATGGCCTCTGCTGTCGTAAGGAGCGGGCCAGAGCCAGAGAGACTGGCCAGAACCAGGGCGGCTGCCCATACTGTCGTTGAGCGAGGCATTGTTACGATTATGATGCCTTGTTATGTAGAATTAGATATCTCGAGAGTCTCGAAGGCAATGTACGTGGAAGCCTGCTGTTATTAGCCATGGCATTTGCAGTGTCAGTAGCACAACATACTGTCAGGGCTATGGTAAACGAGTGTACTTGACGAATGTCAATGATGGTAAAGAATGGACCTGTCGCATGTTAGTCTCCATGGAGAAAGCGCGTCGCTGAACTGGGTGACTCACTAGACTGTCGATGCAGCTAGGAATAGATGGTTGCACAGGCGAAGCGATTACTGCGTCGTCGCGATGTTCTCGGGTTGGTCGCGGGACTATGCTGTCATGTTTGACACTGACAGGTACCGGAGAATAGTCGTCGCGTGGGTCTAGAAGCACGCTGTACCGAACCAGGGCCGATCAGAGACTGGTACGCACGTGGATGACAGCGAGCGGGCAGGCAGGCGACAAAGAATCGTAGGAGTGGTCGAGACACTCTAAGCACGATTCGCAGCGATTGCGTTTTCTTTGTTCCTGAGCAGCGGGTGGCCGTGCGTGTCGTAAGTGGTCAGCGGGGCTGGGACGCGTTTTCGTGGACGGTGCGGTGCTAAAACGAGCGGCGACGACGTTGATAGGCAACGGTCAGATTACTAGTAATTGCGGCGACGGAGCGGAATTGCTTTTGAAGGAGTGGTCGTGATTCGGAGAATCGTGCAAGGGAGCGTGAGGCCTGGGCGACGTGGAGAGCGGTGCTTGACGGTCGGAGGAGAGAGCCACGGGGAACCACGGGCGGGAGATGCGCAGAGTCGATATATGAATGCGCCCGTTTGGGGGTTGTCGGCGGGTGGTGGAGAAGAGGTCGGCTTGGGGCGTGGGCGACGGGTAGTGAAGAAGAAGAAGAGACAGGGCGCCGGTCAGCAGCAGCAGTCGCCCAGGTGTCCAGGCCAAAACGGCGGCAGGCAGGGGCGAGGGGCGGAAGAGGGAAAGCGCCGTGGGCTGCGAGTCGCCAACGTGTGCTCCCTGCAGGAGAACCAACTGCCCACCACTAGTGCCAGTGTCCAGGACGGGGAAAGCCAGGGTTTCGCGCGGCGGGCCTCTGCATTCGATAGTCGCAAAATAGAACGGCGCTTGCTGCAGAGGGAAGTAGTTCGCTATTGACGTCGCGGGTGGATACGATGGGAAGGTTATGTGACAGGAGACAGCAAGACTTCAGAGGCTGCGACGACGAAAAGGCGAAGCGGACATTGTGTCTCCATCAGCAGCAGATTGCGCATGCCGCCACGGTGCGCCTGTGGATTAATTTGCATCTGGCCGCGAGGCCCTGGTCGTGCAGACGGCTGTGAGCTCAAACCGCACTAGCCAAGGGTAATATACAGTATACCCCGGCTGTGCTACCGTATAGCCCAAGACATGGAGTATCCCTTGCCTACGACACGGCGACTGAACCCTCAATTTCGAGGAATTTGGAGGCGGTCGCCTGCGCTGTGTTGATGGCCATCTCCAGCGCCTTGCTCCCCACCGTTCGATGCGCACGCTGCTGAGGAAGGAACGGCCATCAGGCGGCCAATAAGAGAAGGCGCAGCCCTTGCCCTTGCCGAGCCCTTCATTTCGGCATGACACGGGTCCCGCTCGCATGCGAATGATGATGATCGCTCACCACGCCGCCTCATGCTGCACCCAACCCCGTGGACATGCTTTGATTGTTCGCTCAGAAGCAATATCGCGGCACCTTCCTAGGCCCTGTACACTGTTGTTCCAACGTCTCTACTGGCTGACTGTAGGAAACTGCAGGGCTGTGTATCGCCTGCAGCCACCCAATTCCTTCGCTGAGCAAGCCATTTTGCCGGCCTGTGTCCACAGTTATTCTGAAGTGCGACCAACTACTACTGTACTACGCTATCGTTTTTTGACAGCCATGTGCGCTTTGCCTGCATCGTCCAGGACTGTCCTCTCGACAACTCGTCAAAGTTCGTCCTAGGGCAGACGGCTGGTTTCGACTTCTGCTCGCCGCCTCTACGCCTGCGCCCCAGCGAACGACATGAACTTTACAGCGCCCTAGGTTCGAGGTAGCCCCTGTCCGTAGCTAGCCTTTACTTGGACTGCAGCCTCGACATCGGCTGCTGGTACCGGTACTTTCTGACTGGACTGTCCTTTATCTCTTAAGTCAGCATGGCCTTGACTGACGCCATTCCATCAGCGCCTCAGATGCGCATTCCGTGCTCTAACGTTTCATATCTCTCGGTCTGCGACTATGAACGCCTGCCACAGCTATATTTGGTTGTCTGTCGACGTTCTACAAACATTCCACCTGGCGGGTGCCGAGGCTCGCCTTGTCATCGGGTACTGTGACTCGTTTCAAGCTCCTGCGTAGCACTGTACGAGGAAGGTGCGAATCCAACCCACAGGTCTGAGCCGATCCAATGGTCCAGCCAATGCACCGCGGCATCGAGCTGTCTCCTCGTTTCCTGGGATTCCCCTTTCTGTCGCTTGGCTTTACCATTTGGTCGAGGCCAACATACCCGTAATTCAAAGCATCGCAAGGAGACTTCCGCCGCCACGGTTAAACATGGCGATTGAAGCTGATCTTTTAGACCTGAACAGCATGCACGCGCTTTGCTGTGCTGTGCTGTGCTGGGTGACATTCCAACACCGTGAGACCACCCTTGCCGGCATGCGCTTGAACGTTTCGAAACCATTCCTGCCGACTAGAAGAAGAACATTGCTTAACGATCTGAACATATAGCCCCAGGCCCCGCCTCTGCATTGGGCACGGTTGCGATCGTCATTTTCATGCTATATTTCTGGTCCTATACTCTATGCAGGCTTCAACTGCTCCGGAGTACACAAGGCTGAGGCTGAGGCTGCATTTCACCTTATGTTCGGCTTCCACTGTTGTTTCCTGTCAGATCCACATGCCGCAGCCTCTCGCAGGGTCGTTGTTTATGGATCTTGTCTCCCGAAACGCGTTCTGTGTCGCTTCCACGAGGATCGGTGGGGCATGACGGCACGCATGAACCTAGAATCTTCATCTCCACTTTGGTGGCCAAGCACTCTTGTAAACTGGGCATTACCGACTTCCAGAAGCCACCCATTGGACTTCTGTATATGGTTTGCACGATATGTGTCTCCGTCTGCTGTTTGTGGAGTGCCACTGGGGATGAAGAGACAGCACGTAAACCTTGACATCGTGTTGAGGCATACAAACAGTACATGTTACGTGTACAACGAGGAGAGGTGTCTCATGACGTGGCAATCGTTGCAAGTTACCGAAGATCTACGAGAAGAGTTTGCTCGCCTTCTGCGAGCCCTTCACCAACAACTGCTGCATTAACACTCGTCATAGTCCGTCCATTCGCTGCTCTTCCCAACATGCAGAGTACCCACAGCCAGACCCAGCAAGCCAGCATCCTCAGGACGACGACGCGTCCTTCTTCGCCACAACATACAGCGTCATAGTCCCACTGTAGCCATCCCCAGTCACTACACTCGACCCCCCTTCCTGAGTGAATATGCCCGCAGACATGGAGTCGCGGCTTCACACGCCAAAGTTCCCGCTGAAGATGAGCACAGCCCTGCAAGTAAGATGGGTTCGCGGATGACGAGTCGAGGTGGCCTTTGGCAGGGCCATGCGTGACGAGTATGTCCGTCGCCTCCGGGACAGTGTTTGACCACATGTCTTTTGCTTGGTATTGGAACGCCCAGTTGCCGTATTTCGGCGTCATGGGACTTCCATAGACCTTGACGTCCCTGTCCCGAACGTTGAGCACCCTCAGCTCGTTCTCGAGGTATACTACACTTCCCCATCTGAGATCTCGCAGTCTGCGTTCATCATTCTCTCGGCTTGCAAGTCGTGGGTTGCGGCGAAAGAAGGACTGATCGAGAAGCAAATCGTGATTCCCTGCTATGACGATCTTGTGTTGGTGTGGCAGACTGTTCAACCAGTCGAGCTGTAACTGCAGCTCTTCAAATGTGCCGTTGACTGTCAGATCGCCGGCGTGGATCAAGATGTCGCCGTTCGGTACATGCGGCTGCTCATTGTGCGTATCGGAGATGCAGATAACCCTAACACGGATCGTAGAAGCGGACTTCGATGTTGTGGACGCGGGCTGTGATATTGTCGAAAGCGGTCGGTGAGCATATAACCACTGTGCGATGAAGAGTATTGGATCCTGCTGTATACGCTGCCATGCTGATGGCAGCGCGGGCGCGAACATGTTGGACTTGCCAAACGTAGACCTTGTATATGTGGTTGTCATGTTGTGATGTAATGTGTAGTTCAAGTCGCTACGGAAGTTCGTTCGTGTAAGCAGCTAGACGCATTTTCTGGGCAGCAACAGAATGGATAAAGCCATATGTGATGGTCGTGGTTATGTCGAATTGGGGATGGAGATTTCATGATTGACAAAGATCTTTGGTACCAGCATCCATGGATTGGTTCAGCAAAACATGACAAACGAGAAAATCCGCACCAGAACCATCCGAATCAATGTTCCCACTTGTCCGCCGTTGGCACTATAGCGACAGCAGTTGCATAGTCTCCATCATGGCTGATGCTAATTTCGCACAGCTGCCCATCGATCTCGCTCATATCGATCAGTCCAATTTTGCCGTCAGGCTTCACCCAGGTTGGCTCGAAATCCTCGTAGACCATATCCAAAATCAAGCCCTGGGGCCGTAGCGATTGGTGCTTACTGCGATCAACCGCGGTAACAGGGAGGATCATGATATGCTTGAACCCTCTTTGAACAATGTCGAGGTGTTGAATTGCTTTGCGGCAAGCTTCTTTCGCTGCGAACCTTGTATCACGTAAGCTCCTGGTTGGGAGATTAAGCTGATGCGAATACTCACCTGCCAGCGAGAAATTTGGAGATTACATCTGCCTTCTCCAATACGGATTCTTCGGGCCCAAAGCGATTCCAGAAATACTGGCGCTCGTGCTCGGTGAACACTCGCTTCAGGTAGTGACGCAGAGGACGCAGAGGCTCGCCTTCGCTGCCGGTACGGGGCGTGATGATGGATCGCACTCTTGGGACATTGCAAATATCGGTGCCCACGCGGAAGGGAAACGGAAAGGGTCGCAGTGGCATGGGAAGTTCGATGGCGGCTGTCCGGATTGGGGAGTGTGTGTACGCCAAGATGGGCTTGGCAGTTAACACAATGTTGTCACGTAGAAAAGCGCAAAAAGTAGGGCTTCAGCCAGAGAGACCTACCACCCTCCATGCGCAAAAAGATCGACGTTGGCCAGATTCGAACTGACGCTCCCGAAGGAACAAGATTTCTAGTCTTGCGCGATAACCACTCCGCCACAACGCCCCCGTTTTTGCTGCTATTGCTGCTTCGATGAAAGACGGTGGATTCAAACATACTATATACCAGCTATCTACGGTTCGGACTATGCGTAGATGTGGTGGGGTGCCACCCAGAAGCCTGGTGTCTCCACACCTCCACCCAGACACTCGTAATCCCGAACAACCCCGCCCGCTTACCGTTCTTTGCAGACTGAGAGCTCAATCCTGCTCGAGCCAAGTCATCATAGTTGACGTTGACACCGTCATGGGCGGCAAAAGGCCCGATGTCAAAAAGTTTCGATTGTTCGCCTGATCCCGCGAAGAGCCGCAACGTTGCGTTTCGGACATGAAGATGAGGCGGGAACAGAGAAACTCCCCGCAGCCACCGGATTCCGACGACCAATAATCCTCATACCGCCACGCGTTCCATAGCTTTGATTCGCTTGCGCACCCATTACTACCCGACGCGGAGTACGGTCAACGGCCAGAAGTCTGCTACACGTCAGTCTTGGTACTCGACGAAAACGGCCCAAACCCAATTCAATGATTGTGTAGGTAAGGGGTCCTGGTGCGTGCGACACCTAATCTGGGATCATGGTGGTTGTGCATGGCTGTATGCTTCAAGCTACGGTTGGCTCGCCTTTGTGGAAGTCCGGCCTTGGAACAAAGAGCTAGGGTGCCAGGGCTGATGTGCATGCGGCCATATTCTGGTGAGACGATGCTGATGGGCTGTGGTGTTATGCGGTGATGTTCAAATGTGCTTGGTCTCCTCGGTGATTATTCTCCTACGAGCTCCTTCCATCAACTGCACCGTTCAGAAGTGCAGTTACGCCTGCGAAACCAGGACTAATGCAGCCACAAACCTCTCCACGCCTACCCGGCGTCCCCATCCTAAAACTAGACTCCAGCGGGCCGGAGTACTCTCGCTGGCGACGCAGTCTTCAGTTCGCCCTGGAATCGAAAGATATTTGGAAATACTGCAATGGCGCTCTACCCATGCCTATGCCAAAGGCACGGCCAGTTCCAGCCATTTCCCCAGAGGAAACGAAAGACGTAGAGCCGAGCCTGCTCGAGGAGCGAAGAGCATGGGTTCGACAAGATCGCGAGGTCAAGCTGGACATGTTTCTTTCTGTGGCAGAAGAAGTGATGCAGGAAGTTTTCGAAGTCGGGCCACCCCTTCCTCCCATCAACCACACTTCGCAAGAAATGCTGCAAGCATTGGACGATAACTTCGGTGTCTTTAGCTTTTCTGGATACCACCACGCATTCTGCCATTTCCTAAACCTACACATCGACCAGTACGCAAGCATCCAGGACTTCAACACTGAATTCACGACGGTACTGGAAGATCTGATCGACTACGGCCATCCACTCTCCAACACACAAGCATGCAGCGCGTACCTCTCTAAGCTGCGATGTACGCAGAACCCGGGGGTAGCGAAGAAGTTGGAGGAGTTGGACACACTGTCAACAGAACCGGACATCCACGACCTCATGCAAGAGTCACTTTCGTGGCCATGTATCCGCCCACTAGCGACGAAGTCCTCTCAGATCTTTCAGGTGCCACCGGTATTAGAGGAGTGCCGTACGGATAATGGGAGCCACTCCCATGGCGACCCACCTGGCCTCTCAGACACCTCTACCGTATCGTCTGAAGGTTCCCGTTCAAGGCAGCTATCCATAAAAGTCAACCACCCGCAGTGGGCCGTTACGCGAGCTTCTGACAACGTCGATCCGCAGGACCTGCGTGAAGCAATCGAGAAACTACTCACCACGGGCGAAGCGGATCCTTCCAGTCTGAATTACGATGCGTCAGCGATATCAGCATGCGCAACCCCGGATTGGTTGAAGGCACAAGAGAAGGCATTCTCCAAGCCACTTCCGATAGCAGAGCCACCGGCCCCTACCGAGTCACATACTCTACGAAAGACCGCCTCCGAGTCGCGCGCGCGATCCGCTTCACCACGGCTCCTGTCTCCATTGTCCAGAACCGTGTCGCAAACAAGTCTGACTGTACCAACCATGACGACGCGTCCACACTCCGCAGACACATCAGCCAGGTCATCCCAACACGTTCAGCGACAACCCAGGCCACCAATGTCAGTGTGGAGAGCACCAACATATCCGCCACCAGCACTGTCTGACCACCCGGCTTTCCGAGACAATCCCTTTCTACCCAAAGAGCGTGCGCAATCAGATTCCCTCCTTGTGGACGCGAGTAGACCTGAGCCTAGACCCGACGACTATGAACCACCTCATTCAGCACCACTACCGCACCCATACCAGTACTCGGCTTACTCGTCAAACAGCAGTAGCGCGATAAGCTTGCCCATCCAAGGAACGAATGAGTCGTCATGGAGCTACGGTAGCAACAACAGCGATGACATAGAAGAACACATCCTATCACCCGTCGCATCTTCCATGCTTCTCCCACCCATGGAGGATAGATTCGTTACTATCAAGCGAAACGATGCCCCTCTCCCGCCTCTACCCGTAGACACGAACGTCCTACAATGGCGCACTCCAACTTTCGACGATCTTGTCCCGCCGCCACCCCCGAAAAAGAGCCGTCTGCGCAAAACGTCTTCGACTCTCGACATGTTAAAGCGGCTCAGTGGAGACAGTCTCTTGGAATCGAGTGACGAGGTACGGGAACGTGAGGAGAAGAAGCATCGGGAAAAGGAGAGAAAAGGGAAAAGCTGGAGTATTGGCAGCATTGCGAGGTTTACACATAGCAAAGGGGTTAAATAGACGCATTAGTTTGCGATAATGATGAATATGGTGCGTATGATGAGGACATTGAAGATGTGCGGACGGCTGTTGTTCGTCTCACTGCTTGTATGCGGGTTTATTCCTTTGTCGTCAGGTGGACCGCTGGAGCTGTATACCCTATGTGTTGATTTAAACATATCATTCTTTTGTCTGCTATCATGTATGCCACACCGAGTCTCATGAATGTGACTGTCCAGAGACCCTTTATTCGTTGTCTGCCGAAGCGATGTATTTGTACAGTCTTTTAAGTGTTAGACCAGAGGGGGGAAATGGCATCACATCCGGATGTTCAATAGCGGACTCTAATAGTCTAGATGAGGGGAGGACTAGTCTATGATAGATTCTCCATCCCAACAGTACGGCTTGGTCGCCGTCTCGTATAATCGTAACACGTTCCAGCTTCGGCCAGTCGTGGCTAGCAAGACTCCTGAAAACCTCTACAAGGTGCTATGCCTCCACCCTACTGTGTCTCCCTCACAACCTTGTCGACAGCCTTCGCAAAGTAGTCGACGTTGTGTGTGTTCAGGCCAGCCATGGAGATACGACCGTTCTTGGTCATGTACACATGGGAGTCTTCCCGGATCTTCAGAACCTGCTGCTCTGTCAAGCCGGTGAAGCTGAACATGCCGATCTGCTCTGTGATGTGGTTCCATGTGCCGGGTGTGCCCATGTCCTCGAGCTTGCTACGAAGCGCCTTGCGCATCTCCTTTATACGACCAGACATTGTGCGGAGGTTGTCTTCCCATTCAGCGAAGAGCTGGGGGTCGTTGAGGACGGTCGAGGCGATGCGGGCACCGTAGGCAGGGGGATTTGAGATCTCGGAGCGCTGGAGGATGGCGAGCTGTGAGGCGATGCGCTTGATGGTGGACTCGGCGTCGGATGACGGCGAGGTGACGAAGTGGAAGCAACCTGCTCGCTCGCCGTACAGACCGAAGTTCTTTGCGTAGGACTGGGCAATGCAGAGCTCGAAGCCCTGCTCGACAAAGTAGCGGATCGCCCAGCCGTCAGTTGCAAGGTCACCTGAAGCAAAGCCCTGGTATGCGGTGTCGAAGAAAGGGAAGTGCTTCTTTGACTTGATCACCTCGGCAATCTTCTTCCACTGCTCTTGTGTAGCGTCGACACCGGTGG